GAGAAAAATACTTACATTATAGAAAGGCTGTGTGGATAGAATGAACTATGTGAAAAGCACTTTAGAGTGCTCAGTGAGTGTCTATATTCTACTTTTTTCTAAAAATAATTTAAGATAGGTATAAAAAGAACATAAGGAAAAGAGATAAACCATGTAAGATCATGGTCAATGAGTATAAGCTCATTTATTTCTTCTAGTCTCGTTCCTTTAATAATGATATTGGAGAATATGAGTATAAAAGTAAAAAACATTAATTACAAAAAGTTGATTATTACAGGAAGGTAAGAAGAAAATAGACTTCCATTACTTTTAATATTTTGACACATTCCCTTAACCTTTTTTTGAAAATTACATTTCAAAAAAAAAGTCAGGATTATTTATACTCTATCACATTTACTTCCTGATTTTTCCATTTCTAGTAGACCATAAGCATTTTTGTTCTCATTAAATATTCTCTTGAAAAAATATTTTGTGATTTCATAATAGTATATCAATTGCATGCACCATAATGTGATTTTTTTCTTTGTTATTTTAAACAAAACTGCCTTTTTCAGATACTTACTGAATATACTGGAAATCCTCTCACTGATTTTCATATTTGCTACTAATTTTTCCCACTTAGCCTTTTAGATTTATGACTTGACATAATGTTTTTACTTTTCTATAACCTTTGCTATCAGTTATTTTCCTTTGTGATTTCCTTTAGCACTTTTATGTTTAGAGAGCTCTTTCCTGTTCCAAGGTTAGTAAAAAACTTACCTATATTTTCTTCTGTTTTTATAATTCGCTTAGTTTTTTTCACTTTCTAATTACTCTAGAATGTATGGAGGCTCTCTATCTGAGGTAGTTTTGTGCTATTTCAAATAGATTGGAGAATCCATTAGGGTAGGATCTAACATAATTTTCTCCCAATAGTTACACAATTACCAGTAACATTATACTTCCTTCTTTATGATGGATTTATGGTGGTGTTTTATCATACACCAATCTCTTCTTCAATGCTCATCTTTCATATTTTAATTACTTAAATATATGGTACAATACATGCCTTCTCATTATTTCTCTTTTACAAAAATTTGTTGCTTCTCCTCCTTTATTCTTCCAAACAAATTGTAAATACACTTTATCAAATTTTCCCCATTTTACTCCCCTTCAAACACATTGGGATTTGCTTGAAATTACATTAAACCTGTACATTCAACTGAAAAAAAGAGAGAATATTCTTTTTTAAAGTATATTTTATTGGTTATGCTATTACAGTTGTCCCATTTTTGTCTCCTCTTTATTCTCCTCACCCTGCACACCTCTCCCACCAGAATTCCCCCCACCCCCAACTTAATTCATGTCCATGGATCGTACATATAAAGTTCTTTGGCTTCTCTATTTCCGATACTGTTCTTAACCTCCCCCTGTCTATTTTGTACCTACTGTTTATGCTCCTTATTCCCTGTACTTTTTCCTCCCTCCCCATCCCCACTGATAATTCTCCATCTGATCTCTATTTCTATGATTCTGTTCCTGTTCTAGTTGTTTACTTTGTTTTTGTTTTAGGTTCATTTGTTGTTATTTTACTGTTCATATTTTTTATATTCTTTTCCTTAGATAAGTTCTTTTAACATTTCAAATAGTAAAGGCTTGGTAATGACGAACTCCTTTGACTTGACCTTGTCTGGGAAGCACTTTATCTGCCCTCCCATTCTAAATGATAGCTTTGCTGGATAGAGTAATCTTGGATATAGGTCCTTGCCTTTCATGACTTGGAATACTTCTTTCTAGCCCCTTCTTTCCTGAAAGATTCTTCTGAGAAATCAGCTGATAGTCTGGAACTCCTTTGTAGGTAACTGTCTCCTTTTCTGTTGCTGCTTTTAAGATTCTCTCCTTATCTTTAATCTTGGCTAATGTAATTATGGTGTGCCTTGGTATGTGCTTCCTTGTGTCCAACTTCTTTAGGATTCTCTGAGCTTCCTGGATTTCCTGGAAGTCTATTTCCTTTGACAGACTGGGGAAGTTCTCCTTCATTATTTTTTCAAGTAAGTTTTCAATTTCTTGCTCTTCCTCTTCTCCTTCTGGCACCCCTATGATTCAGATGTTGGAAAGTTTAGTTTCCCAGAGGTTCCTAAGCCTCTCCTCATGTTTCTGAATTCTTATTTCTTCCTTCTGTTCTGCTTGAATGTTGATTTCTTCCTTCTGCCCCAAACTGTTGATTTGCATCCTGTTTCCTTCCTATACTGTTGGTTCCCTATAGATTTTCCTTCATTTCACTTTTCATAGCCTTCACTTTTTCCTCTATTTTGAGACCATACTCAACCATTTCTGTGAGCATCCTGATTACCAGTGTTTCGAAATCTACATCTGATAGGTTGGCTATCTCCTCATTGCTTAGTTCTATATTGGGAACTTTGATCTGTTCTTTCACTTGAACCATATTTCTTAGTCTCGGAGCACCTGTTACTCAGTAAGGGGTGGAGCCTTAGGTGTTCACCAGGGTGGGGAAACCCACATCTCTGTGTTGTGGCGCTGTCTTTGGGGCAGGGGTCTGATAGGGAACAATGCTGCTTGCTCAGCTGTCTCCTGGCTTTCAGTCACTTCCCCCACTACCCACAATCAAATTGGGGCCCTTCTGGTGTTGATTCCCAGGTGGGTGGGTTTGTGTACATTCTAGGACCCTATAGGTCTCTCCAACAAACTCTCCTATGAGGCTGGGAGTTTCCCCCAGCACCACAACCCCCACAGGTTTTGTAGTCAGAGGTTTTGAGGCTTTATTTCCCTTCACTGGAACCCTGGGTTGTGGGGTCTGTCTTGCTCTCCAGTTGTTTCTCCCAGTTTAGCCACATGGAAATGAGGAACTGCTTGCTGCCTGGTCCTCTAGCCACTGCCTTGCTGTATGTCCTCTCCGCCCCAGCTGCCCGTCTCTGCCCTTCCTACTGGTCTGGATGAATATCTCTTCTTTTAACACCTTGGTTACTGGACTTCCATACAGTTCGATTTTCTGGCAGGTCTGGTTATTTTTTGTTTCTCAATTTGTTGTTGACCTTCTTTTGGTTGTGTGAGGAAGCAAAGTGTATATACCTATGCCTCCATCTTAAAATACATTCTTTTAATATAATTCAGTGTCCCAATGCAGAAACACAATATCTCTGTTTTCTTTATATAGATTCTGTACATTTCTTGTTAAGGTTATGCCTAAGTGTTTTATGTATTTTATTGTTAATATTTTTCATGTCTTAATTTCAAACTGGTAAGTTGTTATTCTCAATGAACTTTCATTGTACTACCAGCATGCTTCAACTCCAGCTTGATTTATTCTGTATGTTACTTTATAGACATAAGTGAACTTAGCCAATGCTTGAGAGAGAACACTGAAGGCCATGGGGATGATTAGAGCAGACCAACTTTGTAATGAGAAAGGGATGAGAGTCACTGGTTATCCACTTTATTCTAAAGTGTAAAGTGAGTTGGTAAAATTATGCATTTTCTTTTATTACTGGGGAGGGATAAAGGCAACAAATTGATGAACCCATCTGTAATGACAAAAGGACAACTTTTGAAGATAGTGGGAACTCTGAGAGTACATAATTTACCTTATACTTTGAGCTTTATGCATCTCATCTACCTCATTGTCTGATAGTCCATTGTGGCATACATAAGATGAATAGTGTAGGCAATATCTCCCATGGGAATGAAATTAAAAACAAAGGATCTAAGTGACTGGTATCTAAAGATCATGTTATAAAACTGGCCTCCGTGTCCTTAGTACCACTGTGCCCTATTATCCTTGCAGGCTGCGAACACACCTGTCATTCACTTGCCCTAGGTTTCTAAGGTGGCAGGATGCCAGCTTCAGCCAAGTGTTCACAGTGCAAAGTGCTTCAGACTCTTCTGAAATGAAAGTCAGTATGTAAATGTGCAACATGACGACATTATTATTCTAGCTTCCTGGCTGCTTTCAGCAAGCACTAACTGCCACATGAGGTCTCAAGTGTTCTGGCACGGTGCACAAGTGTTCAAAAGAAGTTAAAGTAATGAAATTGGATCTACATTTTCATAGATATTCAAGCTGGCATGGAGGACTGGAGTCATGGAATCAGGGTTGGATAGTCTCCACCAAACAGCCTAGGCATGGGCCTGTGATGCCAGGCTACTAAGCAGAATTTTCAGTCGTGAAAGGCCACCACTATTTCTTCCTCTGGGTCTAAAATTACAAAATGTACACACCTCCCCCAGGCTGACACCACTCTCTGGGTGCTTTATGCTCAATCCCCATCCACCTGTTCCCTGGAGCACACTAGTCTGTTTAACTTTAGCATAAGTTTAAAAATGAAGAACTAAGTACAAAGAAGGGGGAAAATGCTTAGTTAGAACCCTGACTGACACAGCATATGCTGCTGTACAAAGTCTGTGACTATTATTCCTAAGAGGTTGCTGGGCTTACGGTGTATATCATCTGTCCCAGGTACTAAGAAGTGTCCACTTTATGGGTTCAGTTGACCCTGTCATGTTTCTGCAGTTTTCATTCCTCACAGGCACCCAGCATCCCCTCTCCTTTGTACCCAGCATCCTCTGCTATTGAAGTATCTAGAGCTAAGACCAAATTTAGGTGTGTGAGTGGCTCAAAAAAACTGGGTCTGCTAAGTCAAGAGTCACAGTGGGTCCAAGGTCACAGATTCTGGATTTGGTCATTCTGAGACTCAACCTCCCTCTTACACCTTTATACCCTCCCTCACCTTGACTGAAATTTTTCTGTTCATCAGGGCACAAGCAACAGAATCCGAGTCTCCTGCTTTGCAGCCACCTTTTTACTAGCACACTATAATGCTGGCAACTCTTCCTCCTCCACCCACCTTTATATTCTAAAATTCTCACAGGCTCCCTGTATCCATTTACGTATATGCAGACATAAATTTTATTTAAGTTTAAAAATATAAGAGAGGGACAGGTCGAGGAATTCAAGCACTAACAAATACCATCACTCATACAGAACCTCTTTTTTTATATTTTAGGACAGTGAAAAAAAGGGATTTATAAATAAAATCTATGCCATCCAGGAGGTATGTATCAGTGTCCAGAACATCCTAGATGAAGTGGCTTCCTTTGGCGAAAGGATCAAGAAGTAAGTGATGCTGACATGTGAGCCCTGGCCTTCTGTGAAACAGAGTGTCCATTTGTTTCTCAGAGGGTGAAATGCCACGTTCTTTTTGGCAGGGGATACTCCTTCTGGGTGATCTATTGCTCAGTTTCATCATTATTTACTTTGTTTCTGCCAGTCTTTGGTTTTATGAAAGTCCTGTCAATTTCCTTCCTGAAATTTAGAACATATTGCTTGGAAAGAAGTCATACTTGTAACTTTGAAGAAATAACACCTTCCTAAATTCTAGCACATTTTCACAATAAGAGACTTTGTTCTTAAACAGAATATGAAATTGTGATAGAAAAAAACAAACCACACAAAATGAGGATTTCAGGTAATCAAGATACACTTACACTACTGATTGAGGGTTTTTCTTTCAAGTTACTCTAAAAATTTTTAAAAATCATATTATATATAGCACCTTGCCAAATTATAGACGAAATAAACTAATGGATTATCATTTAAAAATGCACAGAATTTTTTTAAAAATTAAAAGAATCACCTTAATTTTTTTAAATAAGGAAATATAGCTTCATTGATATCTAGTGAAAATTTATGGAACTTACATTCTTAATTTTATACTACTTGTGTTTTACTTCAAATAATTTCTTTCACTACTATATTTATATAAACAACAGTTTATTGTATAAACAATAAGGTGACTTACAACAATTGATTTTTCAGTAAAAAAATGTACTAAGACCCTGGACTACTAAAGTATGTAAAATTGGCCTACATGACGAATGACTGCTAAAAGGTCTACTCAAGAAGGGGTGCTGTATATCCAGTTAAGCCCACATTTTCTCAGTTTCATATATCTATTCATTGCTTATTTTTCATAACCGAAGGTGTTCGGCAGATTTGGCTCCTTGGGCATACACAGAACTTGAGAGGAGCAAATTATTTAAACTAATGGTATGAGTCATTCATCTGGTGCCTTTCATGTTTCAAGGGATAATGCATCTTATTTCATGTAATTTTTTGTTTAATACATTTCCACACATCCATAGGTGCTGAGTTTCCTTTCTCAGAGCATATTAGACAGAACAGCCTTCCTCTCATTCCCAAATGTGCCTCTAAGCAACATTTGGTCTCAGACTTCTGAAAATTGATTCCCATATCTGTGCTCTTTCCTGCTTCCATTTGATTTTTTTCTCCATCTCTAAGAATGTTTCTCTGCTTTCTTCATCCTGTCCAGTGAAGCACAGGGTGAATTCCTACATGGGGCACTTCCCTACTGTGTTGTCCTTTCTTTGAGGTGCCCTGGGTGCTGGTACCTGACAACAGCATCTCATTTATACCAGAAGACAACTCAGTTGGCTCTGAGGTCAGGCTAGTGAATGTACAAGGGGAAGAGTTTTTGTTATAACTCTGGGTGGTTGGAGGTCTCAGAACAGCTGCTTGGCTGGAATATATCATGGCCAGTTGAAGAATATGACTAGCTCCTGACTGTGGACCAGCCTTGGGGTAAACTGGGTTTTGAAGCACTTTCTATAAGTATAGTAATAATGTAAGTGGAAGTATAGGCTGCGGTATAGAAGCATGGCATAGGATCCAGTGAGTCTTGTAGGAGCCATCTTTTCTGCACAATAATCTTTTGAATATTTAAAATGAAAAATCCCCCTGGAGTCACATGGAATATAATACATCTATCCAGAAAGCAGAATCAGAAGTGATCTTTAAGTACAAAATGAAAAGCCTCTATAATTACATCTTGTTACTATTCATTCCAGAAGTTTCTTGGACTGCATTTTTTTATTGGGGGTGGGAGTGTGTATTGTGTTCTAGATTTAGATCCCATAATGCATTGTGGGAATAGAAAAGGGCCATCTCGTTTCCTCTAACATTAGGTACACTGGTAAAGATTCTTTTATATTTATCCTTCCAAGAGGAGAAGGAACACGGGAGCCCTTCAGTGAAGCTGACCAGAAGGAGGGTTTTCTGAGTGAAGAGCCAGTGCCCTCACACATGGGACAGTGTGATGGATGGATCGATGGATGGCTCTGAGCTGAGTCGCAGGAAAGCAAGCAGACCCTCAGCCTTCTGTTCCCTCCACAAGCAGCAGAACCAAGGGAAGCACAGGTGTCAGTAAGGGAGGGAAGCCATGATCTTTCACCTGGCAACCGTTCAGGGCGCTCACTCTGGCCACGGGAGGAAAAGGACAAAGACAGAAAAACCAGACCCTAAGAGTGACTGAAAACAAGACAACCAGATTGATCCAACTTTGGTTCTTTTACTTACAAAAAAAATTAGGAAACATTTGACCTTGATTCATGAAGCATGAATCAAGCCACACGCTTCAATGCTAAGGAGTAACTTCCAAGTGTTATGTTGAGGCACAGTATTGGAAGAAAAAACCTCTTAACGATCACCCTTTACTAGATCAAAAACTGTCCTGGATAAACCCCACCCCAAGTGAATATAATACACATTACCAGGAAATTAGAAGAAAAACAACTTCTTATTTTCATTAAGTGTCTTTGGGGGCCTCCTCACTTCCTGATCAGAAATGCCAGTTGCTAATGTGTTAATTTCTCATTCAGTACTTTCAACTGGACAGTCCCATTCTTAAGCTGGCTGGCCATCGTCGCCCTCTGTGTGTTCACAGTCATCCTCTACTTCATTCCACTGAGATACATTGTCCTTGTCTGGGGTAAGTAAAACCTTTTTTTTTTAACTGTCTTAGCTGCTAAGAACAAACTATTTTTAAGGGATGAATTACACTGTCAGTAGTTTCCTATATTTATGGTCATGAAGCTACTCCATGATGAAAAGAGACAGGCTGGTTAAAAATCACAACAGTATAAAGATTTAGGTCTACCTGCAAAATGCATTTTTCTTGTCTGGCACCATAGGCTGCATCATACTATAAACATGTAGTTGTGCAGATTCTTCATATATCAAAGAGTAGCTTTGCCTAGATATCATTCTGATTTATTTTCCCCACGTATATGTAAACAAACGAGGCATTTCAATCCATGTGGTGCATTTAGGACAATATGCTTTTGTGCCATGGTACTTTGTCCTGTGGAAGCACCCACAAACATGGCACTATATACAACCTCCTGTTTAAGAGGTCACCTTTGGGGTGCAGGGAAAGGGTCCTTGGCACTGACAGGCTGCTCAGAAATAAGAAACCTGTTTTATGTGTGGTAAAGAATACTCTGCAAAAACCCAAGTTAAAGGTGATATTTTGGGGTCCTAATTTTAATGCAGTTATGCTGCAGGCTAATAGTTCTCATGTACCAAGTTTCAGCATTCTTCAGTTTTGAGTTTTTCTCCCATCTGACAAAATTCTTTTTGAAAAATTCAATTCTTAGTCTCCAAGACTGACTAACATATAAAACTGCAACAGTAATCTCACACACACACACACACACACACACACACACACACACACTCATACACACACGGATGGGTATATGGGTAGAAGTAGAATTCTGTACTTGCCCTGGCCTCCATGCACCTAAGACTGCGAAACCTATGCAAAATACAGAGAACCAAAATGAGTCTTAACTGAAGAAAACACTGAAAGCAGAAAGATCAAAGAGCATATTCGTTCCTCTCTTTTTAAGGTTTTTACAGCACTGTGATGGAATAGCAAAAAGGGGGTCTGATGTCTCCATGCCCTCCAGTTTCAAGGTTCCTATCCCCCTGTTCTTTTTGGCCTCTTGTCATATAATGAGTAAGCCCTCCTAACCCTTACCATAACTGACATTACCTTTGTATCTTGGGTAGGAAGAGAAGGGTAGGGGGAATGGAGATTATTTTTTCTTTTCTAAATTTCTATAGTTTAAAGAAACAGTTTCAACTAAGACAGTACTTTCACCATTCTAAGGAAGAGGACTTTTACACCATGTTCTTATTTCCCTGTTGTATGTCCACACTCTCATCTTTCATTTCTTCCTGATATTTAAAACAGATGCTATGTTAGTGAAGGAATTAAGGCAGGGCACTAGGTGTGGCAGTTTATTACCTTTAACCAACTTAGGGTCAGGCCGGCCATCTCAGTTGTGATAGGTGGTGAACCTTCGATTTCGCTTTCCCAGCTTCTCAGAAACTGGAGCCCACGGCGGACATCTGGCTGTGTAACCTGGGGTGGCCTCACTGGCTAGCTGTCTGAAATGTAATTTTTAGAGACTGTGTTTGGGCCTCTTATTTCATTCAATGAAATAAGAACAGTATTTCTTTAAGTGGTAGGTGATTGCTGAAATATTAACCAGAAATTTCAGACGGGTCTCACATGGGGACACAAGGACCAAAATCATGACTGCAGAATAGAATTATTCTGCTGCACACCCTGAAGAGAGCCAAGATGCTCTAGTTTATGGCTTAGGTTATACCAGACTGTTGATTTCCTATCAAGCTGTTTATATATATATTTTTTGTCTGTATATGTTTGATAATTTAAGTGCAATATAAATTTAAAAGAATAGACTTATCCCATTGATATCCTACATTATACCATAGAATACATAGGATAGATACTTCTAGTTTTATATTTTGATATTCCTATCTCTTTACACTTTTTGTTTGTTTGTATAATAGCTCCAATTTCACCTCCACTGACCCTCAACCACATTGACTTTTCAGGTAGAACAGAGGATTAACTGTTGAATAATTTAGTATGGGTAGACACTGTTTGTCACTAGTTTCTTGGCTGTTCTAATCCAAGAAGTGATCCAAGAGAGTCAAACATGGCAGCATCTTTTGCATGCATTAAATGTAAATTTTGTGTAACTTAATAGGAAAATTGGTTTCTAAAAATCCCAATGCCAGAGATGTAGAAATGGAAAGTTTTTTTCTTGTGATGAGAACTTTTAAGATGTACTCTTAGCAACTTTCAAATATGCAATACAGTATTATTAACAAGTCACCAAGCTGTTCATTACATCCCTATGACTTATTTATTTATAACTGGAAATTTGTACCTTATGATGCCCTTCGCCCACCACCCAACCCCCTCTTTTCGTGACCACCCCACCAATCTGTTCTCTATATCTATGAACTAGTTTCTGTTTCAGATTTCACATGTGAGATCATATGGTATTTTTTTTTCTGTCTGACTTATTTCACTTAATATAATGCCCTCAAGGTCCATCCATGTAGTTGCAAATGACAAGATTTCATTCTATTTTTATCACTGAATAACACACATATGTGTATATGTGTATAAATATGTATATATATGTCACATTTTCTTTATCCATCTACCCATTGGTAGACAATTTCATTGTTTCCATACCTTGGCTATTATAAGTAATGCTAAATGAACATGGGTGTACATACATTTTTTAGTTAGTGTTTACATTTTCTTCAGATGCTCAGAAGTGGAATTGCTTGATGATACTGCAATTCTATTTTTTAATTTTTAGAGGCAACTTCACACTGTTTTCCATACTGGCTGCAAAAATTTACAATCCCATCTCAGTGCACAAAGATTCTCTGTCTCCCCACCCTCGCCAACACATTTCTTTTTTTATAATGACTATTCTAACCGGTGGGCAGTGATATGTCATTGTGGTTCTCATTTGCATTTCCCTGATGATTAGTGATGTTGAGCATCTTTTCATGTACCTGTTGGCCATTGTATGTCCTTTTTGGAAAAATGTCTATGGAGGTCCTAGCTGAAAGAAGATATACATTTAGAGTTTTTTTGAAATAAAATCAAGGCCAAGTGTCTTCTAAACATTTAGCATACAAACAGACACCCCTTATCCTCCCACACATGTGAAAAAAAATGTTTTATCTTTTGAAAAAGGGGAAACCAATAAATAAGACTTCTTGCCTTAAAAACCATCTCAGTCCAAAATGTAGGAAGACACACTTCATTTTTGATGGGACACTAAAGCAAAGCTTCTAAGTCTGTAACACTGAGGGGAGAAGCAAGTAAGGCTGTTGCTCATTCTTGCCAGGTGCCTTCTGTTTCCCAAATAAGCCTTTTTTCTGCAAAGGAAGTCACTGAAGTACAAAGAGAAAAACAGCAGCCACTGGGATGGGAAGGAGAGAAGAAAGGGACAACAAGAGGAGAGAAGAAGGGAATGAAGGAGACAGGAAGGAAGGGAGAGAGGGAGGGAGAAAATTGGGTGCATTGGTTCACTCAGACGAGATCGGCGCGTTCAGGGTGGGGGTGCGTAGACTGCAATGGTTCGTTCTGTCAAGGCTGAAAGACTGCTTAATCTGGACCTTTGAATCACTTCAGTACATTTGTCAGAAATGTGTTTTCTGTAACTCCAAACTTTGGAGATTTCAATAATGTTTGATCTGCTACTTTTTCAGGCATCAATAAATTTACAAAAAAACTTCGGTGTCCCTATGCAATTGATAACAATGAACTACTTGACTTCCTTTCCAGAGTCCCTTCAGATGTACAAGTGGTATGTAGTTTTCATTATTATTTTGATTTAATATAGTATTAGTTTTTATATCCTTTTAAGAGGAAATAGGTGCAGTTAATAAGGCCTGTGGCAGATTTTGCCATTCAGAAACTTAATCCACTTGGGGTGCTAACCTAGAAGAACTTACAGAGAAGAAGGGGGAAGGAGAGGGGATTGCATAAAGAACCTACCAGAGCTGCCAGGAAGATCTCCAAGGAAGGTTCAGCTGGGGTTTCTCAAGGGAAGTCACCATTACCTGAAGAGAGGAAATAGGAGTATTAGATGAGCATAGTGTGCTGGTAGACATTTGGGAGAAAAACACTTCTTTGCACAATTTGAACAAATTAAGTGAATTTTAAAGATGCATATGTTGGAGTCAGTGAGGAAGGAAGAGTGATGATGGGCACACATCTCAATTCTTTAAAATCCTTTGAGGTTAATTATTGCCCATTAATCATCAACTATTTTCAGAATAAAATGAAAAATGATTTTATCAAAATCTTGAAGCTGGGTTACATCTACATTTTTTCCTTTGTTTCAGTTCAGTTTTTGATTTAGTATCAGACATGAGAGTAGGCTGGATGGAGATTAAGCCTATATTAAATAAACAAACAATAACTTGCAAAGAACCATTATCTGTCCCTCAGAATCAATAGATGGAGATGGTTTCCATTTTGAATGTCTCACGGACAGTGAAAACCCCGGTCTGTTACCAAAGTGCACATCAGGGCTCGTGTGCAGTTTCTGGCACAATGTCCCTTCCAACTCTCGCTGTATCATTCTATTGTTCCAGCATCCCAGCTGCAGGTCTCATCCTGCTTCCAGAGTGAGCCCTTTTTTCCTCCAAGCGGTCTTTCATTCCTTTGCTTTTCCTTCCTTTGCCAGAAAGTGGCCACCTAACCAGTCTTTCTCTGAACTCTGTTTAAACAGGTGCAATACCAAGAACTGAAACCAGATCCCTCTCATAGCCCATGTAAAAGGAAGAAAAACAATCTTGGCTAGCCAGCTCCCAGCTCTGAGAAGCCCAGCATCTGTTTGGGAAGATAAAAGAAAAAGCCTTCAAGCCTCAGCAGCATTTCCTTTGTTTCTGCTTTTTATTTATTTTGCTTTTTTTTCTATCATGATCAAGAGAATTTGTAAATAGTGTACAAGGGCATATGACTTTGAAAATATACTTCCATTGTACAGAATCAATTTGATAAAGGTTTACTTACTGCTGTGTGAAAGCCTTGTTAGCTGTGGATAATAATATGACACATTGGAACAACAAATGTGAGGATGGATACACTGGGAGATACACAGTCCCTAACCACAAGTGGAAGAACTAGATTAGATTAAATGTTTTGCTCTGATTAAATCTATATAACATATAAATGTCCATTTGATTTTAAAGTTTTTTTAAATGTGACTATTTTTATCTGAGAAGTAATCCATTACAGTTTTCTATGTTTTATACATTTCAAAAAGGAGGGGGGAGTCCCAAAACGTGAATAATGGAACAGATGTATTTCAATTTAACATAAATTCTGATATCAGATCCTGACGTTTATTCCTGAGCAAAGTATTTAGATATTACTATGCTGATTTTAAGCTAATGAGTGAAGGTATATTCACACCCTCAAAAGAATCTTCTACACTTTGAAATCCTACAAAGAAAACTTCTAAACCTTCTATCATTCCATCTAAAACCTTAATATCTCTACTGGATTACACATAAATACTGCCAGGTTTATAAATGATTGCCTATCTGAATTTTTATATCTACCACTACTTTAATTTGTACCAAGTTATCAACTTAGCAAAATCTCAGTAGTCAAACATACTAGCAAACTACATTCATATTGCTTTTGTTCTTAGATTATACCTCTGTGTATCTAAAAATATTTAATACTCGAGTGTTCTCACAGAAAAATAAAGTATCTGCTGTCTCGTTAGGTTACTGAAATGCTTTAGTGCATACTATGATTTTTGTTATTAGTGTGAATTTTAATGTAGAAGAGAATGCAGTGTGTTAAGTGATATGCCAGTGTTTCATTACATTCATTTATAGAGAAATAATCATTGTTGATAATATGAATGCATGAAAATCTATTTTGTAAAATAAACTGCTTATGGGGAGGGGGAGTTTGCCTTTACAAATGTTTCACTACGTACTATAGAATCTATATTTAAAAAAATTGCATTCCCAAGACTCTTACAGTAGTTTTTCTACCTAGCTTCCTGTTATATCAAGGAAGTATACCTCTGGAAAGAGAAATAATTTGGTGAGAATGTCTTATTTCCCCCACAACTTGGTAGGGGACTAAGCTTGGCTGAAATTGCTACAATGTTTTGCACTACTTTATTAATAATAAACGGATGGGGTGAAGGTGGGGGTTATGTTGGAAAAATGTAGAAAAACAAAAAGCAAGAAATATATATTTCATTCTAAAGATTCTTTAAGACTAAATTTAATCTCATCAAAGCTGATTTTTAAAGTATTTTTATTTTAAAGCTATGTTGTTAAATACTATTTCTTATGATAGAACTATTTTGATGTTTATACACTATGGTTGAAAGATTGTCAATTAAATCCCTTTCTACAGAAAGGCTGTGACCTCAATATGCTCTATTTAGTGCATCATGTTTGTCATGACGTGCTTACATCCGCATACCATCACTGTTCGTTGCTAAAACAGAATACTCCATGAAGTTGATGTTACTACAGAAAGTTTATTGATAGGATAATTTGTTTGAAATAACTTTTGATTACACCATGTGTGAGATTTATGTTTCACGATGACGGTGTCTACTCAGATGTCTACATGCCTGATATTCTACAACCTCAGATGTACCTAGTGGATAGTAACCATTAACAGATGACTAATTTGTTTGTTTCATTCTATGAAATTTCAGATGTTTAGTTCAATAATAATGTTGACTATATATGTTCACCGAGTTAAATATAAAAAAATCTTTTCTAAGTATAATCAGTACTCCTGTCTTTTTTGGGGGTGGGGGCGGCGGTCTCAGGGGGCAGTGGCTGGCTGGCTGAGAGAGAAGTGACGGAGTGATGCTCGGTTTGGACAAACAAGGCTTTCCCTGAATCCTAGACTGTTGTAAAAAACTCAATACCTTCAGAGGGGTGAGCATCCAGGAAGAACCATCTTGAGGCATGAAAGTGATATTCAGAGCAATCTTCATACTACATTTACAGGCTAAAAACAAGAGACTATGTCTTGTAGAATTTTTAACTATTTCTTTCCCCTATGTTTAGCTTTATTCAGTTTTGAGAGATTTGCCATGTAAATATTTCAAGATATCTTTTCCCCAGTATCTTTTAGTGAGTAAATTTACTGAAGGTCATTCATATTCCAAACTATGATAATTTGTAAGGAATGCATTTTTTTTCTTCTATAAAAAGAACTTAGTACTTCTGGTTCATTTTGATACTGTTCCACAGACTCAAATTGATAGATTCTGCAGGGATTACAAATTATTTTCAAACCTTTCTATGCACAAGGAAAATCTGAATTGATAGATTCTTTAAGTGACTTTGTTTTGTGGTATATTGATTGAGTACCTACTAAGTGACTTGCCCTGTCATAGGCAATGGTCAACCCAATGATAATACATTAGAATCAAATCTGAAGCTAAAGTATAGTTAAAGCAAACAAAATTTAACTGATTTAATTTAATGTTTCTGAAAGTATCTTTTATAGAATTTGACTCTGTATTTAAAAGTGAAGAAAACTTCAGTAGTAAGCTCTCTTATCCGGGGACCTTAGGAACTATTTTTTTCCCATTTTAATCTCAATATCCAAATGTCTCTAATACTGAATGTAGTCAACTCTTTTATTAACAAGTCTCACTCAGAGGCTGTAATTTTAGTTTCTACACTTGTTAAATGTAACTTGATGGTTACCTTTGACTTTTGTACTCACTTAGCTTAAAACAAACCCCCCAAATATACAAGACAGTAGATGCTCCAGAAATACAAATAAAAACAGCCACCATTATACTTCTTGCAGAAGCCTCAGGTATTATTTAATTAATGGTTATTTAAATTCTGGGACTTTAAATGTCAAGTGTGAATGTGTGTGTGTGTGTGTGTACAGATGCCTATTCATTTGATTATAGTATCTAGAATCAGTCTTTTCTAACTGCTCAGTCAAGTATGAATTAAAACCACAAAAAATAATGTAATGAATAGTTACAATAGTGTCATTCCTTTCCATTATAATTCTCTTTCCCAAGACTAATATAACTCACTGAAAGAAAAAACACAAAACATCCTTTTTCTTGAGAAAATGTAACCTCCTATAACTTCACTTTTACATTTGTATAGTGGCAATCTGGGTTAAATCATTCACTACCCCCCAAAATGAAACAATCAAATATGTAATTGATCTCAAATAAATTTCAATTTATTGGGATCTTCCTTCCTTCATATTCTAAACTGACAACAACACAAAACTCTTCTAGGTACAAGCAGTCTTTTTGTAGTTATCATTTTGTATTATCATTTTGTCTCCAAATGTCACTGAAAAATTATGACTCCATTTTTAAAAAGGTAACCAAATGGCATTGCTATTCTGCTCTGGTCAATTAACAGTGTTATTCTAAACTGGAGACTTTGTTTGAATTAAGGAAAACAGAAATAGTTGAAATTGGCAGTGCCAAAGTTTTTTCAGTTGTAGCAAAAACAGAATTGCAACAAAATGCTCCCAAAAAGAAAAGGAGTGACCAAGGTGAGAGTCAATGAGCAAACCTGCAAACCATCTGTCATTTTCTCAGGAGGAATGCATCTGATGAGATCCTGAGACCTGCCTGAGAGGGGTGGCTCGCTGGTGAGGCAAGGTGATGATAGAGGCTCTGTTCCTCTTCCTAGTCAAAGACGCTTCAGGATATCATGAGTCAACATGAAACATCTTATTTTGCCAGAGTTCAAAATGGTAGCAAGTTTAGAGGAAGCCCTACTTGAATAGAGAAAGGTGAACACCTGGCCCCAACCATTCTCAAGTTGTCTCTTGATTCCTGGAGACACACCTGCAATAATAGTTAAGAAACATTAGAGAGACAGCTGGACCACAGAAAAAAAGGTGAGGGGAAGGAAATGCCAATATTTGTCACAAGTTCAGAGATCATCTTTTAATAAACCTGCTCAGAGAAGTGTACACCTTATAACTAAACTCTGTATCATTCCCACAAAGCATTCTTCCTTTATACAGTGAATGACAAGTCAAAATTTGTATGTAACATGCGATACTGGAACCATGGAAGACAATTTATTGGTGTCAAACATGATAAAAAATGTAAATATCTATTTTCTACTATACAGTGAGGGATGGTTGTTTTATAAGGGAGGTAGCTAACCCAAGTTCTGACCCAGCCTTACACAATGGCATACCTACTACCACTTACCTTTGTCCTAGAACTCCTACCAACTTCAGATTCCATTAACACAGAGATCTAGCTAAACATAGAATTGTTTTTGAAGCACATGGGAACCCACCTGGAAAAGTCAACATACTATGAATGTTTGGAGTAGTCTAAAACAGATCAATATGGTGTTCGATTTTATTTGAAGTTGCTGAAAATTACTTTTTATATTCCCTTGTAGGATGAAAAAAATGCATTTTCAGATATGACAGAGAAAAACTTCTTTTGGATGGGTGTATCACAAAACATTCAGCACTTCATAACCAAGAGTCAGGCACAGGAATTCTTGTGGGGCAGGGTACCAGGCGCACCCCATCTATTCTTGTGGCACTACGATGCTAACATGAAGAACACACATCTAGTTCCTTACCTGGTTTCCTATGATCTCTCATGACTATGACACAACCCTGACAGGCAGGTGAGAAATCTCCCCCAAAACACTTTGATGTGATACACCCTCCAGCGTACTGTAGTTATGAGGTAGGCATCCAATGCATTTATATAAAGCAATTGTTAAAACACTGTGTTTTGTATTGTACTACTTAAAACAGCTCCTTACAATAAGCCATTTTCCTAGCCTTCACAGACGAGGTGCAAAATAACATGTTCTGGAGGGCTGTGGGAAGACATTGACTCTGATTTCTCTCACTGGATGGCTGGCTGTTTGTATCTGCATTAACATGTTAAATAACAAGATCTATGTTAGAAAGTGAATGTTTTGCATATCTATGATGATAGAAGAAAAAATTCTCAATTTAATAACACAGTAGTAAATTCCCTCCAAAATCGTTTAAGGTACAGCCTTTGATAAGTGCAGCCATCATTTATTCTTAGGGTCTCACTACTTTTGGTGTTCAATCTGAAAAAAAGAAAAAAACCCACCAGAGTACAAGTAATTTTCAAGTTCCATGAGTACTTCTAAAATCAGAAAAGGCTGATACTGAAGATGTGTTATCATGACTCCACAAGCCGTCTGCATGAAGAAATTCAATCTTTTGCAATTTGGGGAAGAGTCATCAAGGAACATATATGAAGGATCCATGGACAAGCCAAAGGGGGTAGGATTGAGGGTAGGAGGTGGGGGTGAGTGAGGCGGGGGAGGATGGTGTGGGGTAAATGAAGACAACTATACTTGAACAACAATAAAAAAAAAGAAGAAAAAAAAGAATCCTACTAAGGAGTAATGACTCTACCCATCATGGTGAGGCAGGACTTGCAAGGGGCCTGCAATGAAGACTAAAGAAGCATATCACTAACAAGATAAGCCAGATTCACAGTCAAGGGAGGGGTATAAAGTATAAGTGTGTATTTGAGATTTGTGATACTATGTTTAATTATATCTACCTTGAAGGAAAGTGGCATATTTTAAAAATGTACTCTATATTTTAAAAATCCAGTAGATGCTAGTTTAAATAAGACAACTTTAGAAAATTTTAAGACTGATTCTTACTTAAATCAGGAGCATTGCTTTTAAAAATGTTAGCTATTGGTGTTAAAAACAAATATAAATCTCATTACAAGGAAATCTGGAGAAGTGAAAAGAAAATACTCAAAATTTTTTGACAAGTACAACCACTGTTAGTAATGTATTTGCTTGTAATTCTTTCCCCTATGTAATTTTACTTAGGGGAAATTTTAATTACATTTTAATAGTTTCCATTAAAACAAATCCTAAAATTAGTCAATAAAATTGGCATTCATGAGGGAACCAGTTCAGCCACTTTTTATAAACAACTTTCAACATCTTTTTAAGTGCACTTTCTCCAAAAACATGACTATGAAAAGTATTTTTAAATGTTTTATTGACTATGTATGCTATTACAGTTGTCCCATTTTCCCCCCTTCACTCCCCTCCACCCTGCACACCCTCTCCCACCCACATTCCTCCACTTTAGTTCATGTCCATGGGTCATCCATATAAATTCTTTGGCTTCTACATTTCCCATACTATTCTTACCCTCCCCCTGTCTATTTTCTACCTACCATCTATGCTACATATTCTCTGTACTTTTCCCCCTCTTTCCCCCTCCCACTCCCGTTGATAACCTCCATGTGATCTCCATTTCTGTGGTTCTGTTCCTGTTCTAGTTGTTTGCTTAGTTTGGTTTTGTTTTAGGTGTGGTTGTTAATAATTGTGAGTTTGCTGTTATTTTACTGTACATATTTTTAATTTTCTTTTTCTTAGATAAATCCCTTTAACATTTCATATAATAAGGGCTTGGCAATGATAACTCCTTTAACTTGACCTTTTCTGGGGAGCACTTTATCTGCCCTTCTATTCTAAATGAAAGCTTTGCTAGCTAGAACAATATTGGATATAGGTCCTTGCTTTTCATGACTTGGAATACTTCTTTCCAGCCCCTTCTTGCCTGCAAGGTATCTTTTGAGAATTCAGCTGACAGTCTGATGGGAATTCCTTTGTAGGTAACTGTCTCCTTTTCTCTTGCTGCTTCTAGGATTCTCTCCTTCATTTTTACCTTGGCTAATGTAATTATGGTATGCCTTGGTGTGTTCCTCCTTGGGTCCAACTTCTTTGGGACTCTTTGAG